ATTAGGAAATACATTAAATATGTATAAATATTTAATTACGAACTTAATAACTAAAATGAGCTATGAGCAAGATTAGAACCCATAAACTTTAAATCATGACTCTGTCATCCAAAAAGTTGAATTATTTAGATATACTTTTTTAAATATGTAATTTTATTTTATTTTTGAAAAACATGAAAATTATATACCCATATCACAAAAAGAAACTAGATGTTTTGACCTTGTAATCGAATTCTTTCATATAAAATGAGAGGAGGGAGCAATATTTTCTTTTCGAGAAAAAATATGTTTGAGGAAACCATCCTAGACAATATTAGGCTTGTGGCAGTGCTCTATTTTAAGCACGGACCTTTGTCATTAATTCCATTGTTGTGCAACTTCTCGTAATTTAATTTGGTTATTGCAATAATTGTAAGCTGTATCAGATTAGTGATTTTGAGTTCAAAGTTCTTGTTTGCCAATATGTTGCCGTTGCTATCCGAAAAATATGGAGCTGAAAAAGAACATTATCTTAATAAGTGACCATATTTAAATTGGGTGGGCGAATTAAATTATCTTAAATATGTGACCATATTTAAATTGGAGGAAAAAGAAATCCACATAGGCACCATATAGGAAAAGAAAGGTGGGACATGGGGATTTAATGGATGATGGGCAAATATGATCCTAAAGTATAAGTGTACGGATAAATATGTCAAAAAGTATGACGAAGGACAAATGTAACCCTCTTTGAAGAGTACATGGACAAATATGATCCTAACGTATAATGGTAAGGATAAATATATCGAAAAAGTATAACGAAGTACAAATATAACTATTTTTAAAGAGTACAGGGATAAATATGACCCTTTTCCGTTATTTTTAAATAGTACAATAGGTATATGCCAACTTTCTTTCTTTTTAAATAGAGAACAAGTACATTAATACAATGATAACCTTTTTACTTTTGTACTTTACAAATCTCTTTGTATGAAATTTGTATTCACTTGTAAGAGAAAAAGTACGTAGAAGACAACTCATTGTTGTTACCTTTGTCACATGGAGTGCTTTACTGCAAAGTTTATGAGGAAATCTTTTATGAGAACCCTTTCTCCATAATGTACCAGTGAATAGTGATATAGGTTTTAACAGATCAAAACTAGTGTTCCATGTCGGATGCATCAATTATTCTGTGTATTTGCTTCCCAACTTATGATAGAATTAGTACAAACAGTACTTAGGCACTCCAACCATACATGTATGAGGATAAAGGCTGAAACTTGTTAACAATATTTTCCCTTAACGAACCCTTTCTAAATTTGTCAATAGAACCTATTTTTTTTTTGGTCCGTTTAAAAAAGAATGAACCCTTTCTAAATTTGGTAACAATTTAGCTTAAAGTTACAACTTTACCCTTAATGAGAAACTTTTATAACCACACAAATACTCTGGGCCCCATTTGGACTTGTTTAGGATCACAAATTCCAAAAGTCTTTATTTTTTTCTTAAACTCCGTGCCCAGTCAAATATTTTCTTTTTTGGCACTTGTAGGAGCACTCTGTAATATTACTTTATTTAATATGCTTCACTCCAACAATTTTAGTTTCATGAATAGTTTGCAGTATCTCCATTGTCTGGGCTAGCAACTTGCACGCCTTCTTGTCCTCTCAAAGCGATCGTCTCTTTTCTCTTTCGACAGGTAATTCCTTGATATCTTCGAATATTTATTGTTACTTTCTTCCTGAAATTTTCTATCAAGTGCTCAAGAAAGTAGCAAATTCGAAGTGATTAAAAGAAAATTATCTGCCTGAAACGTTGCTCATGTTGGCAAAAAAAAATACTACTTCATATAAGATAATGTCACTCCTTTGAACAAGGACAAGGCTTTACACCGTCTCTAAGTATAAGATTTTACTTTTATCTGAGGCAAAGACCATTACACTGTCTGAGTCAAAGATTTATTTTGTCTGAATCGAAGATAATTACATCGTCTGAGCTAAAGACTTTATTTTATTTGAAGCGAAGACCATTACACCGTCTAAGCTAATGACTTCATCTTGTTTGAAGATTTAACTTCATTTTATCTAAGGCATAGACTATTACACCGTCTAAACCAAAGATTTTCCTTTATCTTAGGCAAAGATTATTACAACATCTAAGCCAAAGATTTATTGTCTGAAGCGAAGATCATTACACCGTCTGAGCTAAAGACTTCATTTTATTTGAAGCGAAAACCATAACACCGTCTAAGCTGAAAACTTTACTTCATCCGAAGCAAAGACCATTACACAGTCTGAGCCAAATATTTTACTTTGTCTGAAGCGAAGGCCATTACACCGTCTGAGCTAAAGATTTCATTTTATTTGAAGTGAAAATCATTACACCGTCTAAGCTGAAAACTTTACTTCATTCGAAGCAAAGACCATTACACAGTCTGAGCCAAAGATTTTACTTTGTCTGAGGTGAAGACTATTACACAGTCTGAGCTAAAGATTTTACTTTGTTTGAGGTGAAGACCATTACACCGTTTGAGCCAAAGATTTTACTTTATCTGAGGTGAAGACTATTATACTGTCTGAGCCAAAGATTTTTTTATTTTTCTCTGAGGTGAAGATCATTACACTGTCTAAGCCAGATATTTTCTTTGTCTGAGGTGAAGACCATTATACTGTCTGAGCCAAAGATTTTGCTTTGTCTGAGGTGAAGACCATTATACTGTCTGAGCCAAAGATTTTACTTTTTCTGAGGTGAAGACCATTACACCGTCCGAGCCAAAGATTTTACTTTGTCTGAGGTGAAGACCATTACACCGTCTGAGCCCAAAATTTTACTTTATAAGAGGCAAGGTATATTACACCGGCTAAGCTGAAGACTATATTCTGTAAAGGCAAAGACAACCATCTAAGCTGAAGACTTTACTTTGTCCGAGGCTAAGACCATTACACCGTCTAAGCTGAAGATTATATTTTGTCCAAGGCGAAGACCACCGAAGATAATTATAGAGTCTAACTTGCATATTTTACTTTACCGCCAAAAAGATTTGACCTTTTGGTGCAAATGAACGAAAACTCGTCATCATTTCAAGATGCAAGAATTAGAGATTGTATGAAGCATGAAAAAAAACTAACCACCAAGAATATCTCTTCAATTTCAATCTTCACAGGTAATTTTATGATTTTTTTTATATAGATATGTTTCTCCTTCCTTTCTCCTTCATAGTCGAAGAATTTTTTTTTACTTGGAGATATACTGAAGCTTCCAACTAAAGAATTGAAGGCCATATCAATTTGAAGATTTCAAGACTATTATGGGGGCTTCTTATTGGCTTTCAGTTGAAGACTTGGTGCTTGGAAGAATTTAACTTGCATATTTTAACTTGAAGACATGACAGACTTGAAGGGTTTTACTTGAAGACTTCAACTTGAAGACTTAGTGGATTTGGAGACTTCAACTTAAAAATTTTGCAGAATTGAAGACTTCAACTTTTGGCGAATTCGAAAGCATCAGCTTGACTTGGTGAATTTGAAGACCTTAACTCAGTTTGTGGACTTCCCAAAATTGAAGATTTTAACTTAAAGATTTGCCGAATTCGAAGGTCTCATCATCACTTAGCAGATTTGAAAAATTCAGAAGACTTGGTGGACTTGAAGACTTCAACTCGAAGATTTAGGTGGATTTTAAGAATTCAACCTGAAGGTTAAAATATAAGAGTTAAACTTGAAGATGTAGCCACTTTGAAAAATTCAACTTGGAGACGTGCCAGACTTGGATAGTTGAAGACTTAGGGGATTAGAAAAATTTAACTCAACTTCAACTTGAAGATTTAGCATTCTAGAGACTTCTAATACTTCATATAGAAAATATGAAGAATTCAACTTGACAACTTAGCAAATTTGAAGAATTCAACTCAAAGACATGACGACCTTGAAAACTTTGCAGCCTGTTAAAGACTATAATTGTCTCGAAGATATCAATCTCGGTGAAGAGGATTAAGTCATTATGCAGTTTATAACAAGTGAGTTTTTTAATACTTTATGAATTTGAAGACTTGGCGGACTTGAAAATTGCAACTTTAAGATCTAGCGGACTTGAATACTTCAAATTGATGATGTAATAGACTTGACAAAATCAACTTGACCTAGAATTGGAGCTTTCAACTTGAATATTTAGCCTTTTATTAAAGAAACTACAATCATTCCATCAAAGGTCCTCAATTTGATATGGAGGGCTTTCCCCCATTGAGCCATCAAGATAAGATAGAGAGTTCAACGAAAGAATACATGTACACCTAATTTTCAAGTGTCAATCAAGTGAATTATATTCCATCGTACCTCATTTGTATAATGCCTTGGGTAATATGTATTTTTGAACTCATATGACTGAACTTAGAATGAAACTCTAAGATGTCTACGTACCTTGGTGAAGATGATCAAGTCATTCTGTAGTTCGAAATGGGTGATTTTTTTTGCGTCCTAACTTTTGCATAGGCCACCTCTTTCGAGGTTTTCAACCTAGCGGACTTTATTTTTTTGGATGTCCTAACTTTTGCCTAAGCCGTCTCTTTTGAGGTTTTCAACCTAGTAGACTTTTTTTTGGACCGTGCACAGTTTATACTCTTGCAGGCCAGGAGTAACATGAAGTTTATGCTCATGCGTTAAGGAGCGTATCTGTTTTCTTCAAGGATAGTATCTCTTCATGAATTTTCCATTGATGGGGCCAATCCGCAAACCTTCTAAGTCAACTATCTTGTAAGCGCCACTTAAGTATACCTCTTGTACAATATATGGTCCATCCCACTTAGCAGAGAATTTGCCCGCAGATCGACGAGAGGTAATAATAGGCCTTTTGACCACAAGAACTTGGTCACCCACTTGGAAAGATCTAAGGCGCACCCTTTTGTTAAAAGATCGAGACATGCGAGCTTGATAACATTCAAGGCTTTGTTGAGCTTCTAGCCTCTTTTAATCAAGAGCTTCCAATTCTTCAAGGCGTAACCGAATATTTTCTTCATCAGTGAGTCCTTATTGAATGACAAGCCGCAATGATGGGATTTGACGCTCAAGTGGAAGGACCGCTTCAACTCCATTAACAAGTGAATAATGAGTCGCTTGCGTTGGTGTGCGATATGTGGTCCTGTATGCCCAAAGAGCTTCTTCCATCCATTCATGCCAATATCTCTTAGACTTAGAGACAACCTTTTTCAACAAGTTGTAGAGCATCTTGTTAAATGCTTCAGCAAGTCCACGGCAGCAACATAAATACATGGAGGAATTATGTTGCTTGAAGTCAAAAAGATCACATATTTTATTCATCAACTTATTATCAAATGCTTACCATTGTCTGTCAATATATATCGAGGAATGCCAAAGCGGTATATAATATTGACTCGGATGAAGTTAGCCACATTTTCCTTCTTTACTTCCTTAAGAGAAACAACTTTAACCAACTTCGAGAAGTAATCAATTACGGCCAAAATGTATAGATGTCCACTAGAAGACTTTTGCAATGGACCAACAACATCCAAATCCCAAGCATCAAATGGCCAAGAAGCAACAGTTGGGTGTAATACTTTAGGTGGTTGATTCATGAAGTTAGCATTGAATTGGCAAGCTTTACACCTTCGAACATAATCTAAACAATCTTTCACCATGGTTGCCCAATAATACCCCATTCTTTTTATGTGGAAGTGAAGTTTTAGCTCAGATTGATGCGCACCACATACTCCAGAATGTGCTTCTTACAGGGCTTGAAGGGATTTATTAGCCCCCAAACAACGTAGGAGTACTCCATCAAATGATTGTCTGTAAAGTGTATTCTTATAATAAAGAAAACGAGGGGCTCTCCTTCGGATTTCTATCTTTCTTCGGGGATTTTCCGGTAATATCCCATAACAAAGATAATCAATTAACGGTTGTCGCCAATCTTCAATTTCAACCTCAAGAACGGAAGCAATATGCTCAACTTCGCTTTCTTCTTCCTCATAGTCATTTGGTGGAGGAACTACCCATATTTGGCAAACAGTGACTTGTGTCTGATCAGGCAAAGATAATATAGAAGCTAAGGCTGCTAATGCATCAACTCTCTTATTTTCCTTTCTCGTCACGTGTTGAATAGTTACCTCTCCAAGCCAACTTACCAATCTTTGAGCATATTTGTGATATGGAACCAACTCTGGCTTCTTGACCTTATAACTACCCAAAATCTGATTGATCACTAATTTGGAATCTCCAAAAACTTGTAATTGTAATTGCCTGATATCCACAGCCATTTCAAGCCCAAGTATGAGCGCTTGATATTCAGCAACGTTATTGGAGCACCGTTGTGTCAAAGTGAAAGAATAGGGAAAAACTTCTCCTTGAGAAGTGATTTACACTATTCCAACGCCAGCTCCTTCACGATGTGCAGCGCCATCAAAATACATATTCCAAGGAGGCTGAATTTCTATGACCATTGCATCTTTATCAGGCAATTCATCAAACAACTCCCAATCATCTAGAATCGGATGGTCAGCTAGGAAGTCTGCTAATGCTTGTCCTTTTACTGCCTTTTAAGGAACATACACAATTTCAAATTGTTGAAATTGGAGGTACCACCTTGCTAATTGATCGTTTAGGACTGGTTTAGACATGACAAACTTGATAGGGTTCGCTCTTGAGACGAGTTGCACAATGTGAGCTTGGAAGTAATGCTTTATCTTTTGAATAGAGAAGACAAGTTCCAAACATAACTTATCAATAGGAGAATACTTGAGCTCATTCAGCGTCGTCATCCTACTCAAGTAATAAAGCGCATTTTCTTTGCCTTCATTGTTTCCTTGAGCGAGAAGCGCTCCTACTGACCTTTCCTGTGCTGAAATATATAATATTAATGGCTTTCCAGGTATGGGGGGTGCTAGTACTGGAGGTTTCATTAGATAAGACTTAATGCTTTCAAAAGCATTTCTGCAAGCTTGGTCCCATTCAAAAGGAATCCTTTTCTTCATGAGGCGACTAAATGGTTAGCATCTTCCATGCAGATTCGACATAAATCTTCTAAGATATGCCAACTTGCCTTTCAAGCTTGTTAAGTCATGAATATCTCTAGGCTTGGGCATTTGCAAGATAGCATCCACCCTAGCTTGATCAATTTCAATACATCGATGTCGAACAATAAAATCGAGGAACTTCCTAGAAGTAACTCCAAAATCTCACTTCAATGAATTCATTCTGAGTTGGTATTTCCAAAGCCATTCAAATACCATCCTCAAATCTTGCAAGTGATCATCTTTCTTCCTTGACTTTACCACTACGTCGTCAACATAACACTCTACATTTTTATGAAGCATGTCATCAAAAATATTTTGCATGGCACATTGATATGTAGCACCAGCATTCTTCAAACCAAAAGGCATTACCTTGCAGCAGTATATACCTTTAGGGGTGCGAAAGGCAGTAAGTTCTTCGTCCTTCGGTGCCATGCGAATTTGATATTATCCAGATGAACCATCCATGAAAGACATCGTCTCGTATCCAGTTGTTGCATCAATCATGAGCTCAGGGATAGGAAGAGAAAATACATCCTTAGGACAAGTGTTATTTAGTTCTCTAAAGTCAACACAAACTCGGATTTGGCCATTCTTCTTTCTTACAGGGACGATGCTTGAAATCCATGTAGGATATTTAACTTTATGAAAAAAACCAGCCTCAATAAGCTTGTTAACCTCGGTTTCAATCAAGGGAACCAGTTCAGGTCTGAAGCGACGTTGTGCTTCCTTTACAAGACGAGCACCTCGTTTGATAGCAAGATGATGAACAACCACCTTGGGGTCTAAACCTGGCATTTCTTTGTAGCTCCAAGCAAATACGTCTTTGAGCTTCTTAAGTAGCTCAATATATTTGCTCTTTTCATTACCAGTTAGAGAGGCACTTATATATGTGGGCTTTGGATCTTCAACTACTCTGAGATTGACTCCTTTTAGTGCATCAACCGTTGTCTTCACCCCTTCTTCAAGCTCTGGTGGTGCATCTTTAGCGTCTTCATCCTCTTGAGGATCACCATCATTGAAAGATATGTGATGGCATACATGAATATCAAGACACTTTTCCTCGACTTCCGTATAATATGAAGCATTTTGTTCATCATGAATGGTGATATGATATGATGACCCTACACTTTCTTCATCTTCCTCCCGTTCTCTAGTGTGTACTATAGTATGAGCCTTTTCTTTGAGGGTCTTTTTCGCACGAAACTACAAGTTTGGTCTCTCGCCTCATTCTAGAAGGAATTTGACTTAGGCAGTCTGTGGTCAAAATCTCCTTTTTAGCAAAGATAGGTGCTCCAATCCTTTTATCACCTCCATGACGCTTGTTTTCTTTCTTAAGTGGTCCCAACCTATCAAAGACTGAGGTCCTTGGCTTCGTAAGTCGATAAAACATAGACGGATTTTTATTAAGCGTCGTAGACACTTCTTTAGCAGTTAGTTACAACTTGCCCTTTTAATGGAGATACGGATTGGCGTGTTTGTAACCTAATCCTTCATGTGATTGCTTCAGTGGGTACCCTTTCTCCATCATCATCTCTTTGAGTAGGGTTTGAATCTTCAGGCGAGAGCTTTCCTAACTTGAATGGTTCATTAGGATCATATCCAGCTTTTGCTAACAACATGTAGGCGTTTGGGTCAAAGCCCTCATCCGTGCGCTTTGCAGGAAGTGCTAGATTTAGAAGCGAATTGTGGCTTGATGATTTGACAAACCCTTTAAGCAACTTTGTAGACGACTTAATCGCATCAATTCGCTTGATAGGAAAGGTCAAGTCTCCTAACACCTTACCTTGTAGTTCAGAAGATGGATCTTTGACCTTCCTTGCCTTTGGGACATAACGAAGAACATGAGTCACTTTCTTACTCGAAGATGCCTCATTCATCTTGTTCCTATCATGAAGCACCTAATCTTTTTCAACTGTAATCTTTTCCTTGCTAGTTGTGACATCAACCTTCTTTACAACACTTTTGGTCAACATCACATCATCAACCTTAACCTCTTTTGAGACGTAATTCTTTAAGTAGAATTTTGCATCGACAAAGTATGATTCAGCCTCGGTAAAGGGCTTATCATCAGCAACTATCTTCTTTTCGACCCCACCTTGACAGTATTTCAAGCATTGATGGTAGGTGGATGAAACCACTTTGTTCTCGTGTATCCATGGCCTTCCCAACAAGATATTATATGAGGTTTTTGTATCAATCACGTGCATCCATGCACTCAAATGCAAATCTCCCATATTTATTTCCAATTTGATAGCCCTATAGCTCTTTTCCCCCTTGATTGAACCCTTGCATCATCAAACGACTTTCACATAGTTCATCCATCGGTATGCCAAGCTCTTTGACAGTACGAATTGGGAGAATATTGGCGCTAGACCCCTTATCGATCAAGATTCTACTTATTCTCTGTTCTCTCACAAATCCATCCATAAATAGGGGGCGATTATGGTGTGTTTCGCCAAGCAAAAGATCATCATTAGTAAATGTTATTTTTGCATCACAAATGCCCACTTCTTTAGAATTACCAGTGAGTTTTTCAAGCAAGGGAGGTCGCAGCAATGATGGATTTTCCTTCTTTATCTCTTCTTCAACTATCTTACAACATGAGGCCTTGATATATTCACATGAAGCTCGCGGGTGTAACCAGCTTCGCAGGAATTTCTCCAATGTCACTGGACGACGTAGCCTTTGATAGTGATTCTCCGCCATTTTTGCTTTCTTCCAGTTCTTCTTTATCATTTTCTTCTTGGGTCTTTTCACCATTTTTACCCTAGTCAACTGCTTATTTGACCCCCTTTGTGAATTTGTCTTGTAGTGTCTCCGCTGAGTCACAAGAATCCAATCTTCATCATTAGTTTGATCATCACGTGATTCACCTTTCTCTTGAGATCTTTCCTCCACTATTAGTTTATACGCCATAGGGAGAAGCAATGGTTTGGTCATATCAATAGGTTCAAAGTCACCAAATTTAATCATATTTGGTGATGATGCAGTTTGGATGTCATCACATTCATGTGCTTTGACAAAATTGCAAAGGACAATGGGATCAAGTGAACCAAAAACGAAAGAGACTTGATTCGAACTGTCTTTCTCATCCTCAAGCAAGATTTTTCCTTCAGTGGCCAAGTCCATGACTTTCTCCTTGAAGACAAAGCACTTTGCAATAGGGTGGCCAATCAACCGATGGTACTTGCAATAATTTGGATCATTAGTCTTTCCAGCTTCGTCTAGCCGTTTCATTTCGGGTAACTCAATGAGTTCTTCAAAAATTGCTGGGACATCGGAGTCCAAGAATGGATATTCTTTCGCTTGCATTTCCTTCAGAGTTAAATTTCGTCCAACTTTATCCTATAAGGACGTTGTCTTCATACTTTGCTTCTTAATCACTTTTGTAGTGACCTTTAGTGGTAAGGCATTAACATTCATTGATTCCTTGCTCTCAGACTTCGGCAAAAACTTGTCTCCTTTCTTTATTTCTTGTTTATCCTTCACTTGCGAGGTTCATAAATAGGTGGCCCTTGATTTCCACTTGAAGACATACTTAGCTCCATATCATGAGCACGTGTAGCCAATTATTCAAAAGACTTAGGCTTGATACCCTGCAGGATGTAGCGAAGTCCCCAATACAT